TCTCTCTCTCTCTCTCTCTCTGTCTCTGTCTCTCTCTCTGTCTCTCTCTCTGTCTCTCTGTCTCTCTGTCTCTCTGTCTCTCTGTCTCTCTCTCTCTCTCTCTCTGTCGCTCTGTCTCTCTTTGTATCTCGGAAATCGCAAGTGACATACAATTGTTCTTTTTCGAATCAGCATCCGTAACGAATCAAACGTTATGCGAGAAACCTCACGCGTGACGCGTCTTATGTAGTGAAAATTTTAATCGACCGTTAATTCGGTTTCGTAAACGTTATGGTGCGTCTCCACCTGCGAGTAAGAACTCTCGAGAGCAAAAAGAAAGAGAGAGAGAGAGATACTTTCGAGAGTCTCTCTCTCTTTCTCTCTTTTTGCTCTCGAGAGTTCTTACTCGCAAGTGGACACGCACCATTATAGAAATCTGTATCTAGCCAGGAGAACAGCGCTGAATATGCAATGGAATTTATTTTAATACTTGAAATGCGCATTTTGATATATGCTGCTCATTTTATCCTGAAATTACAAAAATTCACATTACTTGATCTTAAATCTATAACATTTTATTAATATTTTATTTGTACGGATATAGAAGAAGAATAATTTATCTTTTCTTAGAAGATCCTTGGCTGTTATCGCGCTCGTTTTATTGCGATACTATATACAGAAACATTGCAGGATAAAATAGAGATCAGAAATATTTATTTTTAAAACTGCCAAGACTGCAGTGACGCAGCTGCCTTTCGTGCGTTTCTTTTGCAAAATATGCTTCTCGGAATGCAGCGGTTTAAAAACGACACATTCTTTTGAGAATTACGGAGAAATTTTTCGCAAAAGTATTGTGTATTTCTACGTCACGTTGTTTCGCCTCGTATCTCGTTTGTAATCGATGGACAAAGTGATTCGACAGAGTAAACGGGATTCCGAGAAACGATATAACTTTTGTTTGAGAATTTCGTAGGATCCGCTTTGAAGCCTAGTAAGTCGTAAAAAAGATAGCCACGCCTATTCGGTTTTGCTTGAAAAATATTTGACGGCTGGTCTACGATTTTTAAATATGGCATATACCTAGAGACTTGTGATCACGTAATGGCGAGGACCCCTTTTTCAAAGTCGCGCCTCACTTCGTCACCCTGCTCATTTTCTGGTCGCGCTTTGTTTGTGTGATTTCCATTATGAATCACATTTTAATGAACGTTTTAATAAGCTTTGAAGAATAATGACGGAGTAATTAAAATATGAATTAAACGTTTTTCAGAATTGTTATATCATATATTGGTATAAAGCTAATGCTGTAATTCAATCAACTTTTTGACTATTCCCGTAGCTGCTTTGATATATTAATTTTACACTTAGCGATTCCGTGTAGAGGGAATTAATTAATTTTAAAATGCCCTTTTCGATACGAAAACATGGAGTATCGCATGCAAGATCGCGTGTATTACGAGGTTAATTACAAACTTCTCACTTTTTTCGTGAATATTGGAAGGATATCGATCGACGACGCATCCGCTCGGTAGAGCATGGTGTAGATAAGGTCACGGTTGTTCGTTGTTTTCGAGGCCGACTGGCTCAATACTGCAAGTGGGTCACGATTCAATGTCGCGTCGATTATTAGTTATCTCTCGTTGCTATGGAAATAATATGAAGTTAGGATTCCCCGACAATGAAGAATAGTCTTTTGTGTATCACTGACTATTATATATCAAACAATTGATAGCTCTATGTAAGACGAAGTTAAACCAGTTCTATGAAAAATTACGTTATCAAGCCACGCCGCTAAATTAATAATTAAATGTCTGATTTGTTACACTTAGTTCATGTGGAAACTTGAAATGTTTTAAATAGATGTACTTACAGCTCTTTGACGGCTTGTTTCACGCCTAGGTGAAATGGGGTTTACTAATCCACTAACTGATCGTTAAGCGGGCGAGCTAATTCATTTTGAGCGATGCTTTTACCGTGGCAATTCGAAATATATCTGTCGCTGCGGTTACCTGAGCGCAGTAAATGCATCGTTCATGCTAAAAACACTCTTTTGACCCTTTGCCCACGGTCTCGTGCAACCACGATGTTTCTCAAACTAATGATGCGTTCTCCGTTGCTTTCAGAGCTTGCAGCAGCCGCGCTCGCAGTCGGAACGACAACTATCAGGTACGTTTCTCCGTTGGCCAGAATAACTATTCCACTTGATCATACGAGCCGGTGAACTCGATGTCGTTTAACAGTAGGTACCGTGTATTTCTTATAACGAACACGGTGAACTTTTAATGGTCATCGGCTGACCTTTCCGAGGAAAAACGATGATTCGATTTCAAGACGATATCGACAATCCGCGTTTACTCGATTACGCGCGCGATTGCACACTCGGTGAATTTAGGAAAAGGATTCTGTGACTCTCCCACGCGAAGCGAGAGTAGAGAGAGAGCTTCCAATTTGTGTAATGTAATTTCTCGCATTCTAGCTGAAACATGAAAATATGAGCTACGATGCGATGTACGATGACATTTATATTTGGCGCTTAAACGAATAACTGCACACGAAGTGACATTTGACATTTCGAAATGCTGAAAAATTATTATACATATATACAAATGCAAAAAATTCAATAGAATAATTGAATTCTACACGGGACGCTCGACAAACTTCCGAGAAATTAACTGAACTTATACACTTTATAGAGTTTATATATATTCAATTTGTGAGAAACTCTGTTATCCAAAACGAATGACGGTTATCCTGACACTTTGGTTATTCGGACCACCGCATAAATCACACGTGGCAGGACCGGCATCTCTCCGATCCGCGTCTGATTACATTTGAACGGTGGTTGTCAGCTTACGATCCCAATCTGCCATTAATTTACGCTCCTCGCGTGGGATGCAAATGAGGCCGACACGCACCATAATGAATATTGACATCTTTGATCGGGAACGATCGTGATCGATACCGAACTTCTCGAACAATATCGGTTCGAGAGCATCCGCTAACGAGTTTAGTGCGTAATTAATTTCCCTCATGGGAGTGCAACGCGATTGAACGCAATTTGCGGTGGCGCGCTGGAAACGTCGGAATTTTCACCCTACGATCGCGGTGATACAGGTAATGCGATGCCTGAAGGTTCATTAGGGGATGCATGCTGCATCCGGCTTGACTTACGCGCGTGTAATACCGCATGCTATTACGTATCCCGCAATTAATTGAAGACACCCGGGGGTGTCGTGACCCCTTGTAATTTTCGCGTAATGATCGTGCCATTATTCTGAGATTTATCCGATTACGCTATTTCGATGAGAACATCTTGAAGCTACACACTAAATGCAAATGGGATACTGCAATTCTTTAATTAATCTCATTAAACAAAATGTATCAAAGTAATCAAAACTTTTTTACGGTCAGATTTATATCTCTCATATTTATATTGAGTGCAGGTAATACAGAATTCAAGATATCATAACTCTAGATAAGAGAGGTATATGTGTGTGATGTAAAAATAGAAAAAGGAAATTTAATTAACTTCTTCGTAGCAATGTAAAAATAATGATAGATGTCGAGAGATTCAACCACATCTTCTGTCGCGCTCTACATGAAAGTTCCTCCATCGCTTCCTGCCTCCTGAAGCGCACGCTGTATTGTGTCGCGAATTTGATCGCGAAAGTTTAATTAATTATCGACGTGAACTAATTGCTTTCTCGCGGCGCGATCTCGTGGCGTGACGTGATTATGACTTCCGGTATAGACACGCCCACGGCTAGAATGGATCTATGGATGCGCGCCGGCGATGCACTTTCCTTCTCGCCCGCGGCGATCTAATCGGCAACGCGTTAATCGAATAAATCTTACGACAGAAATATAATAGATGAAAAGAAGCGACTCTGCATGTGATGGCTCGCTACAGAGTGGAAAATCAGCAATATTCTGCCGCCTTGAACTAGAAAATTACCTGTATGGCGTCGCAAGGGGAATTTATTTATTATCTGGGGTAAAAATACAAGCTCACACCCATATTTTCCCCGACGGCCGATGAGGAGCTATCGATTTTCTGAGTCGGATGATTATACAATAATTCGGAATTTTATTAAAATCACCAAAGATCAAATATCTGGATTACTAAAATCATAACTTGTCACAAAAATCCAGATGCTTGAACTTTAATTTTGATAAAATTCCGAATTATCAAGAAAAAACGTTTATTTTATATGAACGAAGAAAGAATGTTTATTTTATACGAATAGATATTCGCTTCTCTGCGTTTTATCCTTGAAGCTTTGTAGCTTTGTAATGTGACAGCTCATCTCTTTCCCTCATTATTTTATTATCATGTTATAGTTCAAAGCGAGAACCATTTGTTTGTTCCAAGGAATGATATCCTTAAGGAATTCCCTCCGCGGCGGCTGCGCTGTGCTAAAATTAATCATTCAGGAACAACTCTCGCGCGAATATGGATCGCATTAGTGCCACGCGGATTCGGCGATGGAAGTATAAAAATAAATAGAACAATTCTACAAGCGGATGGCGATGAAAAGAGATACGTTTATTGCTTCTCCATCGACGATTCGAATTAATATCTTCTTGCGCGCGCGTTCGCTTATCGTACTCATTATTTTTTTACAAGTCAGTTTGTCGAACAAACCGGAAAGATTCGTGCTCAATTTACACGACGGAAAATGATTGGCACAAAATAATATAGAAGCAATAAATTACTTCTTCTTCTTCGTCTTGTTAGAAATTTATAGCCGATGACACCGCGGTGATTCACGATTGGGGTTAACGATCGAGTTTCCCGTTAATCCAAAAACCCTGTCTCTCGCATTTAGATACGGAAATTACATTTTCTGATATTTCCATAAAATACTTATATTTCTCTTCTGTTATAAATCTAGTGACATGAAAAGGAATTTTATAATATGAGAAAGTTTACTCTGTAATTTTAAATATTATACATATTTATAAATTACTGTTTACACATTTGGGACATCAAACAACAATCCAATGTTTAATTTTATACTCAAAATAATATTATCGATATATAATCTCTTTCAGTACCATTGGCTATTGAAACAGCGGGAACATTATAATTAATATCAGCTGAATGTTATTCTATAATATTATCATAATAGCTTTTGGTTTGCTTTGCATTGTCTATAGAAAGCTATACTAACACGCGATACGCGATACGTGAATAGGAAGACTGGAAACAAATGACAGTTCGAAAAGCTCATTACAACGATATCAGATTAATCCTTGCCGAGCAAACTGGAACAGCATTCTATAAAACTTTCGTTACAATGTCGTAAAAAAATGGATCGATATTCGAAGCATGATAAAAAAAACTTGTCGACACAAAAATACCATTTAAACTTCCCCGATATCGTTTCCCGTACACGAATTGTTAAAGCGTCTCGAGTTTCGAACATTTCTTTTTTCAAGTGAACATAACGCTGTTACATCCGAGTATCTGATACCCAGAACACCCGCGGAGCGAATCGTTAAATAAATATCAGTTACGATCGTGCGATAGCCGGATATATTGCAGATCCGAACGGAATCTTCTCTGAATGCGAGTAAAGTGCACCGAGAGCATCCGTAATTTTCGACAATTGATCCTGCGGTTTGCGCGAATTAATCACATCGGCTCTGCGTCGGTGGCACCGCAGGCATTACGCGCAAAATCATGTTGCAGCGCAGGTGATTCGATCCGATCGCGCGGAGAAAAGCGCGGAAAAGAGCGGGTTGCGCGGGACGCTTGCGCCGCGGCGCCGCCGCTGCCGCCGTCGCCGTCGTCGTCGTCGCCGGTAGCTTTCGTTCCGTTCCCCGGTGGAAGTCGTCGCCAGTCGTCGCTATCACGGGCACCGCGGCGTTGGGTCGCAGTTTACGAGGCGGTCTTCCACGCGACTCGCGCGCGCATTTATCGCGCTGTCACACGACTCGTTTCGAGCCGTGTCATCGCGCGCACGCTTCATTAATCGACCATCGAAGCCCGAGGTATATACGAATAATTGTGGCCGACCGCGTCTCTAGGGCGATCTCTTCGATATGAGCGATTATAGGAGAATTTTGAGGGTCATTGGGCTATTTCGGAGCATGCAGCAGATTGATTAATTTTATCGGAATGTATGTACATTCTTTTTTTTTATGGGTTTCTTGAAATTTTAATATGAAAAATGATAAGGTGTGTGAGAAAATAATCTGCACGCGAAGTGTTCTAATATTATTTCGTGAGATGAAAATCTTCGATCTTTCTATTTTTATACATTATTATCAGGAATCTTTAGGCGCTCTTAATATAGATTCCGCAGATTTCAGAGGAAAAAAGTGAGAGAAGGATTAAGAGAACGGAACGATATTTTGCAGCAACAGCTGGCTGCTTCTTGGAAAAGTGTTTTATAATTTTCGGACACCGGTCCGTCAAACTCGTACGCGCGCGCGCTTTCGTGCGGCGTTTGGTATCCGTCATCCATCAGCACGTTGACGTAACACATTAGTATCCCGCAGAGATGTTTAAAAACATTTATAATTGTCAGCGACCAAGTTTTTCTTGTCTTTAATCCAGTGGTGTAACTTTTTTGCAATAAACGATCAAAACATGAGCAAATAATAGTTTTTATAATGGTTCTATTTATATTAGAAGTCACGTACTATGATTATGGTTCTATCGGTTTATGATACCACTAAAGAAAATGTAATTACTGCGCCATTAAAAAATTGTAAAAAAATATATTATTAACTTATTTTCAGGCCAAAAAATTAAGAAAATATGAGAGAATTTCGAATTATTAAAATTTTATTTTTCAAATTTAATTAATATCGTTAAAAGTAATAAACCGATATTTTGACAAAAACTATGAAGACATAATTGAAAAATAAATCCTATTGAAATAAACTTGGAATTCAAATACGGAATATATAAGTTTTTAAATTAATTCTATAATTAAAAAATAAATTTTCTGAAATAAAATCTTGGGATTTAAAAAAATTTTATTAATTTATTTTTACACTTTATTATAAAAGAACGTTTTATATGATTTCACGCTATTAAACTCCAGATTGAAGAAAATACAAAAAAAATAAGAAATTTTGTTCTTCAAAAGTTTCTTTCTGAGCTCGGAGAATTTAACAAGATAGAGGATGATAAGCTTGCATTATTGAATTAA